AGGGCACAGTGACATATCCCATCCTTCCTGAATATGGATCAGAATGGGTGGCTGTCATCCAGTCCCTGGTGGTCTGGCTCAGGGTTGTTAGTGGGATTCTGTCAGGAGTCCCATTGACAGGTCACCGCTGGTCAGTGCCCCCTGATCTGTAGTTTCCAAAGTGGCTTAGACCGTTCATAGTTTAGATGGCACATGGTTGGGGCATTGGTAATACTGAACTGTACCCTGGCCAAGCTGTTCTCTGGCCATTGCTCCTTCAAACCTTCAGATTACCACAGAGAGAAAGTCTCAGCCGGTGTTGCTGTCCCCGTAATGTTCTTCAACTCGTGCCGCTGGCTGAGCTCCCGTTTTAACAAGGAGGGGCAGGCATTAGTCTCAGAGCCTTTGGAAAGCAATGCCGTCAACTTGGACTTGGGTCACTTTGATTTGCGTATGTTTATTTTTTTACAGTTACTTTCTACTTGTAACCTGTCGGCTTCATTGTTAAAGTGAGTATGCTATCTAAAAAGGAGATGATATAATGAAAACCATGAAGTGGATCATAATATCCAGATTTAGCAAAATCCACAAAGGCAAATAATGTTTGCCAACCGCTGCTCTGTGTTCTCTTACTATTATTTAATTTGTGGGAGCTCCTAGACATTGCTGCTGTGTGGATAGCACCCTACTTGATTGCCAACAAAAATACAGATATTCTCTTATTTTTGTATTTCTTTTGGAAATTGGGAAGAGGACAATTGACTCTTTTTTAAAAGATTTATTTATTTGAGAGACAGAGAGTATGTCAGAGAGTGGGGAAGGGGCAGAGGGAGAAGCAGACTCCTGCTGAACAGGGAACCTGACAAGGGGCTCGATCCCAAGACCCTGGGATCATGACCTGAGCCGAAGGCAGATGCTTAACCAACTGAGCCACCCAATGTGCCCTGAGGACAATTGAATATTAAATGTAGAGACAGACGCAGGGGTGCGAAAAATCACCTCTGCTTTGAATCACCTCTCCTCCTATTTTTAGGAGCTGCTTGAGGAAGTTTTGTGAGTGGAGGAAAAAATCATTATGAAAATTGTGAATTTGGGTTAGGAAGTCTTTCTTTGGGAGTGAGGAGCTCTGGGATGTTCTTTCCCTCTAGCGACTCAGATGTCTTTGAGATGACCTTTTCCTTCCTCTCTCTCAGGTTACCCTTTGAGTAGATGGAAGCATCTTTGTGGTCAAAACCATACTGAAAGCCATCTCGTTTATTAGGATAATGTCAATATCCATAATGGTGATGATGATTTCTTTTATCACTTGCTAAATGCCAGGCACTGTGCTTATCATTTTGCATGAGTCACCATACCTCAGCTCCACAGTAATCCTATGAAAAATACCTTTTTTTTAAAGTAATCTCTATGCCCAACATGGGGCTTGAACTCACAATCCTGAGATTAAGAGTTGCATGCTCTGACTGCGTCAGACAGGTGCCCCTGAAAAAAACTCTTGTTCCAATTTATAGATGAGAAAAATTGAGGCTCAGAGAGCCTAGCTAGTTTATCCAGTGACCCAAAGAGGCAAGGGCAGAGGTGAGATTTGGACCCAGGCAGAGTTTGACTCCAGAGCTGGGGAATTAACCAACAAAGGGATGCCATCTCTCAAGGGGTTAATACAGGGCACTTTGGGAAGGCCTCTGCAGAGAAAACAGCATCAGGGAGACAAGGTCATAGTCATCCAAATGCTGCTGAGAACCAGGATGCTGTGAGAATGTGCTAAGAATCCATCGACCGTGGGAGATCTTCCTAGCATTCTTTCAGAATAAGAAAGCACTTAGCAGACAAAAAGTAGTAAAAACGTACAGAATGACTGAATGAGAGAACTAAGAAAAGTGTGTATGTGTGGAGGTGAAAGACAGAGCCAGAACATTGCATAAACACAGATTATTCATTTTTTTCTGAAAACTGTTTAATAATTACAAAAATACGTAGCATACCTGGCTGCAAACATGTACGCGCACACCTCCCCCAAAAGAAAAAACCCTCAACACATTTTTTTAAGATAAAGCTGTCTTTCAAGGTAGAGCTTTTAAGGTAAAGCTAGTCTTCCTTTTCTTATCCTAACTGACAAAATAATATCAAGTCAGGTCATGGAATTTGTCCTGTCTCCCTGTCTCCCTTTAGGTTTAAGTTGCTGAGCCAGGAGGAAGGCGAGTACTTCAATGTGCCTGTGCCGCCGGAAGGAAGCGAAGGCAATGAAGAACTACGGCAGAAATTTGAGGTGAGCTGTCTTTCTTTCTCCGTCAGTGGGAAATGGTTGAGTTTGCCTCATATGCTGTGGCTCTGGTTATGAAAGGCCTTCTACCAAGGCTTTTCATGACTCTGTGCCTTTGCAATGTTATTCTGAGTCCCAGAAAACTCCTATGCATCCTGCAAAACCCCAACCAAGCATACCGTGCTTTGTGAAGTCATTCCTTCCTCCTTGTCCTCATTTAGATTTAGACTTTTACTCGAAAGTGCTCCTTCACTTCTCAGGTCATTTTTTAATAGATTTTATTTATTTATTTTAGAGATAGAAAGGGGGGGAGGGGGGAGCGGAGGGAGAGGGGCGAGCAGACTCCATGCCAAGCATGGAGCCTGAAGCAAGGCCTGATCCCACGACCCTGAGATCATGACCCAAACCGAAATCAAGACCCGGACGCTTAACTGACTGAGCCACCCAGGCATGCCCCTTCTCAGGTCATTTTGATGGTAGCTTGGACTGGGATGGTAGTAATGGTGAATGAAAGAAGTGGACTAAGGAGTGCTCTATTTTGGAGGCTGAGTCAACCAGACTTGCTGAGAGATAGAATCTGGATTTGGATCTATTGGCGGGTTGGTGCTATACTGTTAACAAATGGAATCGTTTGTGCTGGTGACCTCATGAAATACCCATGGGTGTATCTTCTGAAGAAGAGTCCTTGGCCCTGACCTTGGGCTACAGTCTGGCTCTGCTTCTACCTCAGCTACGCCCTTTCCCTTTTGGGGGGCCAATAGACCCTGTTTTCAGCTGTGTGAGAGTCGCAGACACATCCCGGTTTTACAAAGAAAATGTTTTGGGGAAAATGAGTTTGAGTTCTTTCATTACATGTGTATTGAGTGATTTTAAAGTAGTTTCATAAGGGAAAACACATTATTTTGTTTGTACAAACTCAATATACTGAGTCTGATGGGGAATCATCAATTCTAGATAAACAGTGATGGCCTGCTGACTCCGAAAAAATTGTATAAAATAGCTAAAATGAAATAGATTATTATCATTGTTATTCAGCAAATAATCACACGGGCAACTAAAAGAAAACTCATGACCATGTAAAGTTCTATAAAAGAGAGGTCTGTGTTGACTCTGAGAACATATAAGAGCGGGGGACAGGAGGACGGAGATAGTGTCATTGAGGCAACAACAGTGCAAGTTAATGGAGTAGAGAGGGGAAAAGAAAATTCCATTCAGAGAGGATAGCATGTGCAAAGGCCCTGTGGCAGGGACTTCTTTAGCAACTATGTGAAACTTAAAGAAGGCCAGTGTGGGTAGAGGAGAGAGAGCAAAGGGTGAGTTCAAGGTAAGGCTGTCATCATAGTAGTAGAAGGGCTGTGCCGGCCTTAGCAAGGATTTTGGCCTATATCCCAAGATTTATATTAGTTTCCCCCTCAACTTGACAGAAATAGCACTTGAGTTTTGACTCTTATGTGTCCACCACAAAAGCCAGTGGTGATGGGTCTGACCCAGGGGGCTATCCCTTCCTGGAAACAAGTGGGATGAACACATTGGCCTTGAGCTTATCAGTCATTTCTCCAGTGAACTTGATAAGGGAAGGTTATTCCCATAGAGCTGGCTCAAGCCCCGATAAGCCGGTAAAAGGACATCCCACGCAGTGGAGCCAAGAACTGGACACTGTTGATTAGTCCTTCCAGAGAACACCTTCCATCTCTTTCCCTCAACTTTTTGATGAATCTGTGCCCATTTGCTGCTGTGTTAAAAATGCACTGTCGTGGGTAAAAAAATTAAATTAAAAAATTAAAAAAAAAACACCAAGGCCACTCTTTTCTCGTATAAAATGGCGTCTCAGTTTGCAAAATGATTTCTTCCATCCTAAGGCAGCCGGGGTGACATTTCAGGACACCAAGGAGAACAGTTCCTACGTGAACATAGCGTTTGTTGGGGCCAGTTATTGGCGTGGAGTAAAGGACTGTTTTATCTGCACGCAACAAAATGCAGCCGTTTATTTCTAGCAAGAGCCCGCAAATGCTTGTTTATGCCTGAATTATAATTGCTCCATACCGTAGTTGTTGATTAAAAAAAAAAAATGTTCCCAACAGACTGAAAATTGTTCTCAGACACACAGAGAAATTTCAGGTGACCTTGAACGTGAGAAATGTAATCCCTGTGCAATAATCAATTAACACCCAGAATGACTCAGAAATTACTTTCAAGCCTCTTAATGTGGAGAAATTCTGAGTGACGGTAAAATCGAGCTGCCGGCCTTTGGGGTAATAGAATTTCACGGCAGGGTGAGCTTGGTGCGGTGGCTGTCCGTGGTGTATTTCAGAATGTTCCAGTTGGCTCGGTCTGGGGGGGGGGGGGGGGGCCGGGCTTTTGCCTGACCATGGGCTTGTCTCTGGGTCAGTGAAGGGAAAACTCCATTTTGGATGGTTCAGAGTGGGTTTTCGGACGGTCTTAGAATTTTCTTACATCACACAGTGCTTCCTCTAGGCCATTTATTATTTTACGCGCTCCGGAAATACTAGTGTATTTAACCCTTGCAGTACCCCTGAATGGTAGATACTATTAGCATCCCTGTTTTTCTTTTATGGATGAATAAACCAGCAAGGTTAAGCAACTTTTTACCATCCCAGAGCTAGCTGCTCATTATCCTGGATTGAGTTTCCCCAGCAACAGACCATAAGGATTCAAGTGCAAGTAGTTTCTTTGGGAGGTGATCCCAGGAAGCGTCATTGCCGAGAGGGGAAGAGGTGTGTATCATGAAGCAGGTTAGCACCGTGGGCAGCTGGTGTTTAAGCACGCCGGAGAACTCTGGGAGTTGGATGTGTGCCTGGGGGGTGCCAACTGGGGGCATGAAACTGTAGTATCATCCACCAGCTCAACCGGCTGGTGGCTGCTTTTGGGAGAGTTCCCTGGCCAGCACCTTGTGGGCTCGGCTTGCTCCTGCAGCCAGAATGTGAGCCTGCAGGTGGAGCTGCAGGTGTGAGTGGTAAGGAGCCCCAGGTGTAGAGAGGAGAGCACCAGGGGGTCTTGGCCGGACACCTCGTCTCATCTGTGCAAGTGAAGCCCTATTCCATTCATGTGGTTCAAGCTCCAGGCTGCTCGGATTTGAATCCGGCTCTGCCACTTTCTTGCTGGGTGACTGTAGGCAAATTACTTTCTCTCTCTGAGCCTTTGATTCCCCATCTGTAAAATGGGGAAAGCACAATGCTTCTTAGCTTCTAAGGTTATGTGAGGATCGAATGAGATAATGCATTTAGGACGGCGTCTGGCGCATCATAGCATTCAAATGTCAGGCCATTGTTGTCATTACCAGCTTCCCCCTTGGAATAAATAGAGCTCGGACCATATTCCTTCTGGGCTTTGGAAGGGCCGGTTGGGGATTGGGAGGGATCTGTGGGGGCTCCAAGCCTCCTGAGGCCTCACCTCTGCTGCTGGGTACTGGGGTGCCTGTAGGAGCCCCTTTTAATTGCAGAGGAGTCTGTAGTTGAAGCCAGGGCCGTCACTAATCATCTGAAATGTAGCCCCGGGGACTGGGTCCTGAGGCACCTCTGCCCCACTGCGGTGCAGTCTGGAAAGAGGCAGCGCTCCTTGCTCAGAAGTGTAGTCTTATTTGCTTTCTCTTTGAGCACCGACTTCTAGGGCTTCAAATTGCAGACATAAAAAGGCAACCATTAGTGTATTCCTGTTTCTGGAGACATATCCAACCCAGCCCGATAGAGGATCATTTTAATTTGGGCCTCAATTTTAAAATGTTTGCTCTTTGATGGAGGACCTGCTAGGCCTGAGGCTCCTGGGGATCAGGAGGCTTTCAGAGGGACACAGGATGGGCTTCTTGTCCTTCAAAGGTTCACTGTGTCGGGGTCACAAACCCAAATGTTTTCAGGAGCCAGGCAGATAACAAGGAGGGGGAAAAGCTTGGTGTCAGACAGTAGGGTGTGGTGGGGACTGTGGTAAACTTGGGAAGTCCAAGATCAAAGCCCCAGCCTGATCATGTTCTGGTGGGAGCCCCCTTCCGGGTTCCTAGATGGCTCTTTTCTCACTGTGTCCTCCCTTGGTGGAGGGGCTGAGGGACCTCTTGGGGGCCTCTCTTATGAGGGCACCGATCCCACCCATGGGGGCTCCACCGTCATGACCTAACCCCCTCCTACAGGTCTCATCTCCTAACGCCATCACCCTTGTGGGGTGGGATTTTTAGCATGTAAATTTTGGAGGGGAAGACACAAACCTTATCACCTACATGGGGAGACACAAACACTGTAGCTTTGAAGGGGGCCCAGACATCATAGGTCTATAGCCTAGACCTATGAAAAAAAAAGAGGCAAAGTCAGAGGGGACAAGTTTACTCACAGGACAGAGGGATGAAGCTGGGGGCTACTTGCTGCTCCATGAAGGACAGAAAAAAAAATTTCCACGAAGCAAGGCCAAATGGAGAAATTGGGAAGTTGAAGGCCCTTACGCATGCTTCACCAGCAGGCTGTACTGGGACCTGGGGTGTCCCCCTGAGGGCCAGGCCGAGGGCTGGGGACCAGAAACAGTCAGGATCTGGATCCTCACAGGTTGGAGAGTGCAGTGTGTGGCTCAGGTGGGTACTGAGTCAGGATCCAAAGAAGGTGGGAAATGTGGTCCTAAGGCAGGGAAGACGGGAGGGCAGGGAGAAAGGCGGGAATGTGTTTGACAGCCTGGGCAAAAACTTGGGGGCTGGAACGTAAGGATTTGGGATGATGGAAAGATATGGCCCAAAAAAGGAAGTACAACTTCTGTCTTCGGCACTTTGCTTCTATACGATCTCCCTGAGGAGCTCACGTTTTAACCACCGGCTCTATGTCTGTGACCCCCCCCCCCACACACACACACACCTCTGTCTCCAGCTCAGATACCATTTCAGTCTCAAACCCACAGAGGCCATTGCTTTCTGGGTATGGATACTTGGCTGTCCCAGAGACACTCAGATCTCAACATATCTTACTACGAAACAGCTTGACCGTGTGTGTTCACAGCAGCTTTGTTAATAGCCCCAAAGTGGAAGGGACACAAATGCCCATAAAGAGGAGAATGGATAAACGTAAACAATGAACAGCAAGACAAAGGGGCAAACTACTGACTCATGCAACAGCACGGGTGCGTTTCAAGAACAGGATGATGAGCAAAAGCAACCAGATGCAAAAGACTACTTCTCCCATAAAGGGAAGCCTGTCACACTTTCACAAATCTTCACCAAATGTGTGGGTTTCCCGCACCCAGAAATTCTCCAGTCCTCTGTGGACACCAACTGGGTGCCCTACAATGTAATTCACAGATGACACCTGGAGTTAGAGCAGACCCCACAGGTTAAGGCCTGGGTCCCAAAAAGGCTGCCCTCAGTTTAGACTCCAGTCACAAATGGTGGGTTCCCAGGTCACCCACACTTCTGTCTGACTTGCTACCAATCAGGGGTTCCCACTATACCTCCTCCTCAGATTTGATAATTTGCTAGAATGGCCCACAGAACTCAGGGACACGCTTATTTCTATGAACTGGTTTATTGTGTAAAAGGGATATGATAAAGGATACAGATAAACAGCCAGACGAGGAGATACATAGGGTAAGGTCTGAAAGGAGTGCGGGAGCTTCTGTCCCCCACAGGGTTGGGATTCATCATTCTGGAAGCTCTCCAAACTCCGTAGTTTAGGGATTTTTATGGAGGTTTCATCACGGAGGCATGATCGATTATTAACTCAGATCTCCAGCCCTGGGATGGGGCTGAAAGTAATAAGCTGCTAATCGTGGTTTGGTCTGTCGGGTGACCATCCCCCATCCAGGAGCCCCCCAAGAGTTTCCTCATTAGAATAAAAGATGCTCCTATCAGGAAATTACAGGAGTTTTAGGAGCTTTGCATCAGGAACCAAGAGCAGAGACCAAATATATATTCCTTATTATGTCACACTCTGTGATTCCATTTAATGAAATTCAAGAACAAACGAAACTGACCTATGGGAATAGAAATCAGAACAGAGATGGTGTTTGTGGGAGGCAGGATTGGCTGGGAAGGGGCACAGAGAACTATCTGAGGGTGATGGAAACGTTTCCTCTCTTGATTGGGGTTTGGGTTCATGGGTGTATACATTTGTCCAAATTCATAGAACTATATTCTTGAGATTTATACATTTCAGTATATCCAATGTAACTTTTATTTTTATTTATTTTTAAAGATTTACTTATTTATTTGAAAGAGAGAGTGCACGCTTGAGCAGGGGGAGGGGCAGAGGGAGAGGGAGAGGGAGAATCCCAAGCAGACTCCACACTGAGCACGGAGCCCGACATGGGGCTCGCTCTCATGACCCTGAGATCATGATCTGAGCCAAAATCAAGAGTCGGACTCTTAACTGACTGAGCCACCCAGGCGCCCCTCCACTGTAATTTGTGAAACATTAATTACAAAAAGAAGAAAACTGGTGGACGCTTTGTCAGCAGCACAAATGGGATGGCAACAATGAACATGCATGTTCTGAGGGAGAAATAAACCTTGCAGTGTGGGGAGGGGGCAGCCTCAGCGTGCCCAAAGTCAGGCTCTTCCCACCCGCTTGCCCACACCTCCAAATCTGCCCTTCCTCTGCTCCTCCTCTGAGTGGAAAGTGCCACCATCCTTTCCTCCCAGGTGCTCAGCACAGAAGCCAAGGACTCGTCTTTCATCCCTTATCCCCCTCTCCCAGGCTGCACCCAGCTCTGATGAGTCTGCCTCCAAATCCATCCACTTTGTTCCATCTGCATCTCAGATACCCCGAGGTCGGGCCTCGCCATCTTGCACCTGGATGACTGTGGTCATTTCTTTCTGGTGGTTCTCAAACTCACCTCCTTCAAATGGGTCTCTTCGCTGGATCCAGGGTGATCTTCTAAATGGAATATGATCATACCATGGCCTCTTTAAAGTCTTTTTTTTTTTTTAAGATTTATTTATTGGGGGGGGCAGACAGAGAGGGAGAGAGAATCTCAAGCAGACCTCTCTCTGAGCTCAGAGCCCAACACAGGTCTCCATCTCACGAGTCTGAGATCATGATCTGAGGCAAAACCAAGAGTCGGAGCTTAACGACTTTGCCACCCAGAGACCCCACCCTAAAGCCTTTCACTCTCAGAATCAGCTCTGACCTCTTAAGACAGTTTGCCTGGTCCTTCTCGCCTTTGGGCTGCATCCCGTGCCACATCCACCTTATACTCTGTGCTGCAGCCAGACTAAACAGGGTTTGCTTCTTCAAGTGTGTCTGGCTTTCTGCTCCATTAATGCTGTTTCTGCTGCTGACATCAAGTTGTTTACCTGGAGAACTTCAGAATATCCTTGACACAGGGTGGGGGCCCCAGTCCCTGCTGTGGTGCAAATTCTTTGAACATCTAAGCTTGTTTTTCTCCCTGATTGATCCCGGGCATCTAGAGCATCACCTGGCACGTAGCAGGTACTCCATGAGTATTTTTTGAATGAATGACTCTTTCCCAATATTCAAAACCCCGAAAAAATGTTTGTTTCCTCCCTGTCTTTAAAAGACAACTGAATAGGGGCAGCTGGGTAGCTCAGTTGGTGGAGTGTCCGACTCTTGATTTTGGCTCAGGTCATGATCTCGGGGTCCTGAAATTGAGCCCCGTGTTGGGCTCCATGCTTAGCATGGAGTCTGCTTCTCCCTCTCCCTCTGCTCCTCCCCCTACCTTTCTCTCTCTCTGGAATAAATAAGTAAAATCCTTTAAAAAAAAAAAAAAGACAACTGAATAATAAGACAACTATAATAGCTGCCATTCACTGAGCACCTACTATGTGCTAGG